ATTTTACAAAAGACTTTCTTCCTGAATCAAAAAGTAAGACCTACATATATATTTTCCAAAGATCACAAATGGCTTTTCATTAATGTCTTCAAGCTCTGAGGAAGAAATCATTTCTATGCCTATCTGGAGCACTGTGGGAAAAAAAGGCACACTTATTAACACTTTTAATGCAGTTTCATGATAGTTTACCTTTGAAATCCAAGAGAATATGTTTGAAATTATAAAGGAAATCAGGAAGGTTGCTAGGTGTAAGACCAAAATGAAAAATCAACAGTGTTCTTAGATTCCAGAATTAATTTAAAACATTTTTTTAAATCTTATGATCAGTAAACTAGTTAATCATGTTAAGAAACAGAAAAGAAGAGCAAACTACACCCAGAGCAAATACAAGGAAGGAAATAATAAATACTAGAATGGAGGTAAGTGAAATAGAGAATAGAAAAACAGAGAAAATCTATGAAGCTAAAAGTTAATTCTTTAAGAAGATTGATAAAATTGGCAGAAAATTTAACTATGCTGACCAAGAAATGAAAAGTGAAGACTCAAATTACTAAAATTAGGAATGAAAATGGAGATGTTATACTACTGACTTAGTATAATTAAAGACTATTACAAGAGAATATTACCAAAAAAAAGTATGACAAAAAATTAGATAACCTAGATAAAATAGACAAGGATTAGAAACACAAACTACCAAAACTGACTCAAAAAGAAATAAAAAATATGAATAGACCTATAACAAACAAAGAGATTGAGTCAAAAAAAATTTTTTTAAGAAGTTCTAACAAAAGAAAAAAATCTCAGGACCAACTGAGTTCACTGGCGAATTCTACCAAATGTTTAAAGAATTATCACCAACCACTCTCAAACTTTTCCAAATGTAAATAAACAGGAGCAAACACTTCCAAACTCATTTTATCAGGCTATTATTACTCTGATACTAAAGTCAAACACATTACAAGAAAAGTAAAGTACAGACAAATATTCCTTATGAATAGATGCAAATTCTTCAACAAAATGCTAGCAAACTGAATCTAACAGCATGTTAAATGGATTATACACCATGAGCCAGAAGCATTTATTATAGTAATTCAAGTTTGGCTCAACACAGGAAAACCAATCAATGTAATATGTGATATTAATAGAATGAAGCAAGGGAAAAAGCCATGATTATCTCAATAGATACAGTAAAAGCATTTGATCAAACCTAAAACCATTTCAAGATTACAAAAAACTAAAAATACCTGTATATATACTCAACAAACTAGGAATGAAAGGGAACATCCTCACCTAATGCAGCAACTATGAAAACCCCACAACTAATGTTATACTTAACTGTGAAAGACTGAAAACTCTTCAAGATCAAGAGCAACACAAGGATGTCCACTCTCTTATTCAACATTGTATGGAAAGTTCTAGCTAGGGCAATTAGACAACAGAAAGATATAAAAGGCATCAAGGATGGACAGGAAGAAGTAAAGTATCTCTACAGAAGACACAATCATATATATGTATGTATGCATATATATTATATATATACATGTATATTTATAAAACTTTAAATGATCCACTTTTTTTAACTATTAGAGATAATAAACAAATACACCAAAGTTATAGGACACAGATCAAAATACTAAAAAAAATTGTATTTCTTTATACTAGCAATGAACTATTTAAACAAAATTAAGAAAATAATTACATTTACAGCAAGATCAAAAAGAATAATACTTAGAAATAAATTCAACCAAGGAAATACAATACTTACATAGCAAAACCTTCAAAACATTAGTAAAAGAAATTAAAGAAGATCTGAATAAATGGAAAGATATGTGGTTATAGATTGGAAGACTTAATACTGTTAAGATAGCAATGCTTGGGTGACACCTGTGGCTCAGTGGGTAGGGCACTGGCCCCATATACTAAGGGTGGTGGGTTCAAGCCCGGCCCTGACCAAACTGCAACAAAAATATAATCTAAGCCCAAGAGTTGGAGGTTTCCGTGAGCTGTGATGCCATGGCACTCTACTGAGACTCTGTCTCTAAAAAAATATATAGCAATGCTCCTCAAGTTGATCTAAGATTTAATGCAATTGCCACCAAAATCCCAACTACTATTTTTTCTTTTTTGAGACAGAGTGTCAAATTTTTGCCCTGGGTAGAGTGCTGTGGCGTCAGCCTAGCTCACAGCAACCTCAAACTCCTGCAATCCTTCTGGCTCAAGGAATCCTCCTGTCTCAGCCTTCCAAGTAGCTAAGAGTACAGCACCCAGCTAATTTGTTCCACTTTTTTAGAGATGGGGTCTCACTCTTGCTCAAGCTGGTCTCCAACTCCTGAGCTCCCAGAGTGCTGGGATTACAAGCTTGAACTACCGCACCTGACCCCTACTGCCACTTTTTTGCAGAAATGGAAAAGTGTATCCTCTTATAAAATTCATATGGAATTTAAAAGAATACCAATACTCAAAACAATCCTAAAAATAAGAGCAAAGTAGAAAGATTCATGCTTCCTGACTTCAAAATTTATTATATACCTACAGTAATCAAAATAATGTGGTATTGGTATAAGAACAAACATATAGATCGATAGAATAGAATTAAGAGTTCTGAAATAACTCCATACATCTATGATCAATTGATTTTCAACTAGAGTGCCAAGAACAGTCAATGAGGAAAGAATAGTCTTTTCAGGAAATGGTATGGGACCACTGTAGTAAATAAAGTTTGACCCTTATTTTATGCCATACACAAAAATTAACTCAAAACCAATTTGAGATCTAAATATCAAATTTGAAAGTATAAAATCTTAGATGGAAACATCGGTATAAATTGCCATGGCCGTGAATTAGACAACAGTGCCTAAATATGACACCAAAATCGTAAGTATCAAAAGAAAAATGGGCAAATTGAGTTTTACCAAAATTTAAAACTTTTTGTACATCAAAGAACAGCATCAAGTAAGTAAAAGACAAGTCATAGATTGGGGGAAAAAATTGGAAATCATATATATGATGAGTGTCTAATACCCAGGATATATAAAGGATTCTTACAATGCAACAACAAAAATATAAATAGCCCAATTTTAAAATGGGCAAAGGATCTGAGTAGACATTTTTCCAAAGAAGACATACAAATGTCCAAAAAGCACATGAAAGATGTTCAACGTCATTAGCCATTAGGGAAGTATAAACCAAAATTACAGTGAGATATCACCCACCCATTAGGATGGCTAGAATTTAAAAAAAAAAAAAACACTAAGAAGTGTTGGTGAGGATGTGGCTAAATTGCTCATCTATTACTAGTTAGAATATAAAAATAGTGCAGCTGCTGTGGAAAATAGTTTGGCAGTTCCTCAAAAGGTAGATTAGATATAGAGTTTCCATATGACCTAGAAATTCCACTCAAATACCCAGGAGTATTGAAAACATATGTTCACACAAAAAATGGGTACACAAACATTCATAGCTATATTCATAATAACAAAAAAAAAAATGGAAACAACCAAAATGTCCCAAAACTGAAGCATGGATAATACAGCAAATGGTATACCAAAGTATGGTATATCCTAAAAATGGAATAGCATTCAAACATAAATAGGAATGAATTGAGGAGGGCGCCAGCCCCATATGCCAGAGGTGGTGGGTTCAAACCCAGCCCCTGCCAAAAACTGCAAAAAAAAAAAAAAGGAATGAAGGTCTGATACATGCTACAACATGAATGAACCTTGAAAACATGCTACATGAAAGAAGCCAGCCAAAAAAGACCATTATTTTATTATTTCATTTACACAAAAGTATAGGAAAATCCACAGAGACAGAAAGTAGACTGATGGGTGCACATGTCTGGGGAGAAATAAGAGGTTGAGGAGAAATAAGAGGTTAAGAGTAACAGTTAAAGGCTATGGGATTTTGTTTTTGGAGGTTGATGAAAATGTTCTAAAATTGATTGTGTTTGTACCCTCACATTAACCTGAAATTAAAATAAATGAATACAACATGCAAAAAAATAAAATAAAATAAAATCGATTGTATTGATGAATACACAACTCTGGAAATACACTAGAAGCCATTTAATTGTATACTGTAAATGGGTGAATTTTATGATTTATGAATTATATCTGAAAAATCTGTTATTAAAAGGGTGAAATAAGGAGAAATTGTTCATGATGCTATTTTTTTGTTTGTTTTTTTGTTGTTGTTTTGTTTGTTTTTGTTTTTGTTTTTGTTTTTTGGCTTGGCCACCTTGGCTGAGAACCAAAGTTGATAAGGAATGGTTATGAAACACTCATGTGACAGAAAGAAAACTTTTTTTTTCCTAGTTGCCAAACCATCCCTTGGTGAACCCAATATCTTTCCCTAGAGATGAGCCTGCCTAAGTTACTTGGGCATAACTTGGGATTCAGAAAGAGAAAACAAAACCAGGTAACTGCTCTTTGCTGAGAATTTGAGGACAAGGGAAAACTAAGGAGAGGGGGTAGGGTTCTGTAAAAAGGTAGAAGGATAGAACACTGTCCAACAGAAATGAATGAGAGACTCAAGGAACCTGATATTCAGATTTCAGTTATCTGCGAATATAAACCGCCCTTGCTCTTACTCTCAAATTGGCAGTTCAACAGCCTTTTCTGTGTCATATTGAGGGTTACGAGTCTAACAAGTAGGGGCTTAATCCTGCATGAATTGGGTTGCTGCTGTGCTGGAGAACAACTGCAGTGTACCAAGTGGAGAATGAGAAGGAAGAAGAAATCAGAGCTATCAGTGGTCAAGGGGACAGATATAAACCCCTGAATCCATAGTGATCTCCCTAAAGGATAAGACTGGGCGTTTGAATAAATCTCTAGATATTAAGGGATATTGGGTTACACATGCTTGGAAGTCCAGGGTTTCCATCTATAACATGTGCTACAGGGCTGAGAAGCAATCACAGGTTGCAGGATCTCACTGAGAAGGCAGAAAATATGGAACAACAGAAAAGAGTAAATGAGTCACTGAGGCAAGAAGGATTATTGTCTTCAGCAACAAGAATGCCAATGAAGTCGTCAATATTTATTGAGCAAGGCAAGGGAGAATCATTGTTTATGGAGGCTTCTGACTGTTAAATTGAGCCCATGAAAGTTGGGATGCTGACACCAGAGAATCTGTGTAAGAGGGCACAATGAGGAACTCTTCAAGGAAATGCTTCAGACAGCAGGGCCCACCATGGCCCTTAGAGATCCTTCAACAGCCTCTAATTTGTCATGGACATGAATCCTCACTCAATGGATGTTGGGAAGAAGATCCAATCATAGGGTTTCCTTCAGGCAAATCAGGTGTCTTCATAACTCTGCAAAGTAGAGAATCAAGCAGAAGCTGAGATTTTTTTCCTACGTGTGAAGAGAACTAAACAGAAATTCAGGAGGTACAATGGACTAGCACTCTTTTCCTGGTTCACTGGAAGGAATCCTCAAAGTAAGGGGATAGACATTGGGAGATGGGTTGGGAGCAGTGGTCAGAACACATCTGCCTAGAACCTGGTTATCTACTTTGTACACTGTACTTTCCAGAAGGCTGAGGCACCCACCCCAAGAGGAGGTCAGCAGGACAGAAACATCAGTAAGAGAGAGCATCCCTCTCACCTGCTTCTCGAAACTGCTCTTTTGTTTCCACCACTGGAAAGTTACCAGTTGGTTCCTTGCATCTTCTAGTGCTCTCTGAAGTTGGGCAGTAGTTAGAGGAAGAAGTGTTGTGCTTCTGGGTTTCCCACCATCTCGTCAAACCCAGAAGCACAAGCTCCAAAAGAGTAAACAGGAGACAGAACCCACTGACCCCAAACATGGTCTTCAGGAACACGGTCTTCTCAGAGGGGCGGGACAGATTACAGGTTATACTACCCAGGCAAGGCTCTCGACGACATGCAAAGGAGCTGGGCACCTGAAAACCATACAGATGATACTGCCCTCCCAGGGCTGCCCCTTCCAGGGCCAGTCGAGCCCCGAGCTGTGCCACGTAGGCCCAGAGCAGCAGGGGGCTTTGAGCCCCTGGGGCATCTCTGCTGCTCTGCCCTTCATGGGGCAGGGTCTCCTCCTCTTTCTTCACCTTTTCCGATTCTTCCCAGTGCCAGATCACATGATACAGGGTGAAACCCATGTAGAGGGCACTGGGAACAGCCACCAACATGACCTGCAAGGTCCAGAAGCGGAGCGGGGAGAGGGGATGGAGGGCGTCGAAGCAGGCGGCCTTGCAGCCAGCCTGCTGGGTGTGGCACACGAATTCACTCTGTTCGTCGCCGTAGATGCCAGGCCCACTGGCAGCCAGCAGCACGAGGCGGAATCCCAGGAGCACAGGAAGCAGGAGGCGCCCCACCGGGGTGGAGTACCTGGCCTCCTCAGCCAGCAGCCGCCACAGCAACCTGCCGCACATGCTGCTGCGGAGAGAAGACAGGGATCAGTGCGTGTGCGTTATTCACTGTCCTGTAGGGGGAGCTCCACTCCACCCTATCTCTCCTAGTCCAAGGATGGGGAGGCAAGCCCCCTTTTTTTTTTTTTTTAGGGACAGGCCCGAGTAGAGTAGAGTGATATGACCTCATAGCTCACAGCAACCTCAGACTCTTGGACTCCAGCGATCCTCTTGGCTTAGCCTCCGGAGTAGCTGGGACTAAGGCGGTCGCTAAAGCGCCAGCTGTTTGGTTTTTTTGTTTGTTTGTTTTTTTAGAGGGGGGGGGCCTCGCTATTGCTCAGGCTAGTCTCGCACTTCTGAATACAAGCAATCCACCCACCTCAGCCTCCCGGAATGCTAAGATTACAGGTATAAACCACCGCGTCCGGCCTGAGGCAAGTCTTTTTACTCCTCTCCAAGATCTGGTTGATCAAATACCAAGACTGTATCTATTTACTTGTTAATGAAATCATCTACGTAAAATAATAATAGTGGAAATAGTAGAGATCCAGTTTAGGTTAGTGTAGGGACAGACAAAGATGTTTGTGCTTTCTCGCCCATGGATTTGGGTGTGGGACAAGATAAAGCTGTCTGGGCTTTCTGCAGCATGGCTTTGCTGAAAAGCACCTTGTGTTCCTGGATAGCCATACTGTATACAGTGACATCAGCTCATGTAGCTGTTGCTTGTCATGTTACCACTTTTGTTCCCCTGGGTATAAAGGCAAACAGGGCCTTCCCCTTGTGCAAATGGCAGAACATAGACTGTGGATGATCTATGTACCTCAGCTCCACAACCACCAGGAACTTGATAAGGGCAGACCTCCGATATAGCTCACCAGCCTCTGAGCTGAATACAGCATGTTGCTCTTGCCCTCGAAGCCTGAGTTTCTCTCTGGTCTGTTGAAATTAGAACACTGGCACTACAGAGAGTTACATGGGAATGGGAGGGAATGAACAGGGCAAGTATCAAGACTTTAGTCTAAGGTTCTTGTAAGGCCTTACTAGGTTAGGAAAAAGAGAATATTTTCGAGGTAAGCTAGCAGAATTTACCAGAATTAAATGCCATAGGATTCTGGGCCAAAGCCAGAGGAGATTGGACAGAAATTGAAAATCTAAATCCTGTTTACCATTGTTCTCTGAGCAAATATCTCCCTCACAGTAAAAGATGACCACAGTCAGGAAAGGCTTTAGAAATTCCTCAGTTACCCAGACGAAATGCCATCATGCTACAAATCCCAAGTTTATCATCTTCACCTTTGTCCCAATCAGTAGTCTTCTCCAACACCGAGATGCTCTTTCAAATGGTCCCCATTTAGCACAAACACACATACCTGGTTCCTCTCACTCTCAGGAGACCATGCAGTGTGGTCTGAATGTTGGTGTCTTCCCAAAATTCATATGTTGGAACCAAATACAGTCATTCCCCCCTTATCATCAGTTTCATTTTCCATAGTTTCAGTTGTCCATGGTTAACCACAGTTCAAAATATTAAATGGAAAATTACAAAAATAATTCATAAATTTTAAATTGTGTGCCTTTCTGAGTTGGTGATAAAATTTCATGCCATCCCTCTCCATCTCTCCCAGGATGTAAATAATCACTTTGTCCAGAATATCTGCACTGTATATGCTCCCCACCTGTTAGTCACTTAATAGCTGTTTGGATTTTCAGATCTACTGCCATACTATCACAGTACTTGCATTCAAGTAACCTTCATTTTATTTAATAATGGACTCAAAGCACAAAAGTAGTGACGCTGATATACTGTTACATTTATTTGATTTTATGATTAGTTATAATAATAACATTTATATTTTATTTATAAACTATTTTAAGTCACATATAAAGCAGCAGTTCTCAACCTGTGGGTCATGACCCCTTTGGACTGTATTAAAGATTATCAGCATTAGGAAGGTTGAGAACCACTGATATAAAGGAAAAGACATATAGGGTTTAGTACTATCCATGGTTTCAGGCATCCACTGGAGGTGCTGGAATGTATCCCCCACAGATAACAGGGAACTGATGTACCCAGTGTGAGAGCATTAAGAGGGGGGCTTTTAGGGGACTGATGTCTGTAGGCAAAAGGCCTATATGCCTCTGGCCAAAAAAGCTGTTTGAGAGAGAGCAGCGAAAAGACTTTGTGCAGGCAGACTCCTGAGAAATGGAGGCAGAATCCCATATGGCCAGGTTGGTTGCAGGCCTAAAAACCCCCTGACCTAAGGTCGGCCTGGTTGGTTGCAGGCGTAAGGTTTGCACACAAATTTCTGTATGCCCTAGAAGTTTCTCTATGCGTTATTTTAAAGATCAAAACAAATGCCTCCAAATAGCAAGGTTAGTAGGACAGACTTTCAAACTCTTTCCTCCATAGCCTCAGGCTTCATCAGATAAGAACAAAGAAGTAATGGCTAACAACATGTTCTCCATTAAGTTATGTTAAACTGGGTTATGTTGAAAGAGTTATGCTTAAAAGTGTATGTTGGGTGGATTATCAGATTACTAGGAAGGAGCTACTTACAAGGCGAGTAGTCACAAGATGTTCAAATGGATTAATGAAGTCATTAGTGTCCAATGCGCATGTGCAGAGGGATTGTAATGAATATTTATGAGGTCATTGATGTATAGCACGCATGTACAAGATTGACTATATAAACCAACAGTAAATAAACCTCACCATTTTGCCTGAGCGAGCAAATCATCACCTTTATTTAAAACACAATTTCAATAAGCGTGCTTATTCTTGGCGACATGGCTTTTCCATGAGACCCTAATGGCAACAAATGTCAAAGTCCATTTTGTATTGCTATAGCAGAACACCTAAGACTGGGTAATTTGTAAAGAAAAGAGATTGATTTAGCTCATGGTTCTGCAGGCTGTGTAAGAAGAATGGCACTGACATCTGCTGAGCTTCTAGCAAGGGCTTCCATGCTGTGTCAGAACATGGTAGAGAAGATCAAAGGGGAAGTGGGCACATGTGAAGAGGTATCAAACCTGGCTATATAATAACCCACTCTTGAGGGAACTAATCTATTCCCAGGAACCAACCCAGTCTCACAAGAGCAAGAACTCACACCATAATAATGGTACTAAGCCATTCATAAGGAATCCTCCCCCACAACTGAAACACCTCCCACTAGGTCCTACTTTGAAATACCACCACCATGCTGGGAATTAAATTTCAACATGAGATTTGGCAGGGACAAACAAACAATATCCAAACCATGACAGAAGGCCTTTAGGTCCTATCCTGAAGGGGATAAGATCCCTTTCACCATGTGAGGACACACAGATGTCACAATCTATGAAGAACAGTCCCTCACTAGACACCAAATCTGCTGGTGCCCTGATCTTGGACTTTCCAGCCTCTGGAACTATGAGAAATACGTTTCTGTTGTGTATAAATTACCCAGTCTAAAGTATTTTGTTACAGCTTATCAGACAGACACCATGCAAACCTCTTATTCCACAGAGAAAATAGAGACTCTTTGATATGAGCTCCCACAGCTCCTACTATCTCTTGTCTTCATACCTCCTCCAACATCTTAGAGAAAGAGGCAGACTTACACTTGTCCAAAGCTTTCCCTTCCAATCTACGTCTTTGGGTCTCTCCTTTCCTGCTTCTTTGAAGATTTGATGCCCCCAATTATCTTCCCTGTAATTCAGACTCCCCTTTGTTTCCTCTCTATGAATGTGATTAGTTATCTCCCTTTAACTTTGCTAATTAACAACCTGGGTTTCTAAGGTAACGTGGCAACAAATCAGACATGCCTCGTTTGTCTCACATCAGCTTCCCAATTGTAATACACAGAAATATTCACATAACAATTCTAAATGGGCATTAGTGTTATAACCTATACATAAGAGCAAGCCATATATCAAAGTTTAGACAGAATAGTCATTTCTGTGCAGAGAAATAGATTGAGATGCTTCCAAGAGACTGTTCTAAGAGTCTCAGTTAACCAGAGAAATATGTCACTATCCACCAGGAGACTATATTTCAGTCACTTGGAGTCAGACTTTGAACCCCTGCCTGCCCCTCAGTCCCTGTCTTTCTACCTCCATCATAGACTGTGAAAACTCAGAGGTATATTATTAGGCCACTAAAAATTATTTTCCATAAAATTGGGTTATACCTATAATACTAGCACTCTGGGAGGGAGAGGCAGGAGGAGGGCTTGAGTCTAGGTATTTGAGAACAGCTGGGGTAATGGCGAGACCCTATTTCTACAAAAAACATTAAAATTAAGCGGGGCATGCTGGCCCACATCTGTATTCCCAGCTAAGCTACTCAGGAAGCTGAGATGGGAAGATCATTTGTGCCCAGGAGTTTGAGGTTGCAGTGAGCCACTGTACTCCAGCATGGGTGGCAAAACGAAAACCCCTGTTGTAAAGGAAAAAAAGGAGGTTAAGGGCAGCGCCTGTGGCTCAAAGGAGTAGGATGCTGGCCCCATATGCCGGAGGTGGTAGGTTCAAGGTTCAAACCCGCCCCAGCCAAAAACTGCAGAAAAAAAAGGGGGGAGGGTTAAAATTTTTTGAAGAAATATATTTTCAGTCTCTAGAAAGATACAGAATTGGTCTCATGATTAAAGATGGCAGATTGAAGATAAAGATTTCTCTTATCACTCCCAAGACTCTTCAAAAGGGAGAGTGAATGGATTTTTTTAAATGCATGATAAACCCATTTCAAATAGGGTAAGAGAAAGACACAATCACTAACACTTAAAATCCACCTTAAAGGCAATAAGACCAATTCTAAGGAAAATCAAATTGGGGTATTGGAAAACATACATGAAAAACACTTCTAGAATTCAGAAGGAGAAAATGAATAATTTAAAATATTATTTTCCTAAATTGAAAATCAAGACAATAATAAAACAAAATCACTATCAGGGAAGAGAAAGCATTTCATGAAGTGCTTGAAGAAAAAAGTAGTTTTTCAATAAATATTTGGCTAAATTTTGTTTGGGGAAATACTGAACTCCACAGAGGGCCACAGGAAGGTTCACTCTGATACTGGTATCAGGTTTTTCAACCTTGCATTATAGATATCTGGAAGCCCATAATTCTTTGTTGGGGGGGGCCTGTTCTGTGCATTACAGAGTGGTTTGGCAGCACTTCTGGTCTCTATGCACCAAATGCCAGCAACACACCTCTCTCCTCCTGCCTACATTATGACAACCAAGACTGTCTCCAGACATTACTAAATGTCCCCTGGAGAGCATATTCCACCCTAGTTACAAAGTGCTACATCAGGGTCACACTGGGTCATCAGTTCTCCACTTGTGGCCTCAGTCACAAGCTCTGCAGAGCAAGATGTCTGTACCAGAGCATCTCACAGGGCTTTTCTAGCCTTCTCCACCACAGAGCTCACCACAGAGCTTTGGGGGGTTGGAAGGGACAGAGGGACAATAGCAGGACAAAAGGACTGTCTGAGGACCCCTTGGTTTAGAGCTCCACTGAATAAACCTAAACACACTTCCTTGTGGTTCACCTACGGCCGCTATCACCAAAATGATGCTTATTCCATACGCATTCATCTGGGGCCTCCTGGAGTATACAGACAAATTCATCTCCACCTCCCCAAGTCTGCAAACCAAAAGGAGCTTTCTGTACAATGGCTTCATCCCCCTTCAGCCCCTCCCTTCCTGGGACCCTGTAGTCTCCTAAGTCAGATCCAGTTGTCCCCTCGCCCCACCTATTGTCTCCTTCTCTGAGACACACATCCTCTTCCCATGAACAAGTGTTCAGCTTTTACCCTCAAGCCAAATTTAAGGACCCACAGAGTTGAGGCAGAAGAAAGGGGAGATGCTACCAGAGATGCCAGCTCAGCACTGTTGACAAAGCTCAGCTTAAAGGACACTCCTGCTTCTAAGAATGGAGAAACAATTTGCAAATAAATTTTAAAGTTAGCAGGATCTCGGTCCTGTCAAGACTTTAGTCAGCCAAGTAGTAACTATGAGTTCCAAAGTTGGGAGAGGAATAAAGGCTTGAAGGGCTTGTCAAATATTCTCACAGATTTTTTGAAATTCCATTATGACTTTGAGAAGAACTTTGCTAAGCATGTCTTATTGTTTTGGAGGTGAAAAAATGCGGGATTCTGGTGGTAGAATCCATCTCAAGGAGTTAGGGTGTGAGGAAGGGAATGTCCAGTGTAGAAAGCAGGGCCCCGGAGGTTCAGATCCAGGCTCATAACCGTATCTCACCCCACCCAGACTGGAAAACATTCTAGGGGCTTTTATTCAGTGTGGCCATGGAGCAGCAATACCAGCATGACCAGGAATGCAGAATCTGAGGTCACACATCCCAGGGTTGCAAAATATCTGAATTTTAATAATATCCTCGGGTGATCTGGGTGTACATCAGAGTTGCAGAAGCCTCTCTAGAGCCCAGGGCAGCCCTCACCACCACTAGCAGCAGGCCCTGAGCCAGCCCCACCGTTCTCTGGCCCTGGACTCACCTGGTAGCTTTGAGCAGAAGCACCCACAACAGAGGAGGGAAGCAGAAAGAAGATTCCTCAGACTGGAGCCCGTGGATCCCACTCTCCCCTGGCCCTGCCTCCCATGCGCCCACTTCTTCCGCCTCCCCTTTTCATTCCTGGCAGCCTTCCTAAAGGGGGAAAGAATGGCAGCTGGGGGCAGCAGCAGGCCTGCTGTTGAGCGCTGGAAAACAACTCTCTGTTGTTAAGAGTGAGGGATGTTTTCTAAGTGAACTGAAATAGGGATTTTCAGACCATCTGAAAGAGCAGTTATGGCTTCAGCAATTTCCAACACTGGGACTTGAACAAAACAGATGGAAATTCCATGAGTTTGAATCTCTACTAACCACCCCCACACTCTCCCCACCAAAGTACCCAAAGCACAAGTTTACCCACAGAAGAGTGTGTCCCACATGTAGGTAAAGGGTGTGCAAGTATGTATTTGCATATATATAGGTGCTGGCTTCCTTTCCTCAGGCAGCCCTCATCTCATGGTGGCCTGGATGTCCTCTCCCCTTGTCTAGGAGAAATAGTGCAGGCTCCCCTCACAGCATGGACAGAATCTGCACCATGTGCCCTCAGCAACCCAGGGAGCCAAACCCCACCCAGCAAGCCCCTTTGAGAACTGCAACACTGTCCACCAACCCATTCCTGCCTCCATGGCCAGAGCCGGCATCCTCCAGAGATGTAGTGAAAAGGTGAAGGGGAAAGGCAGGCGAGCAGGTGACTGGGTGAGGGAATGTGGAGTGAGGGGCTGATCTGCCTTGTTACCTGAGGCAATTCCTGGTCAACACTGGACTCTTCATGGAGGAGGAGATGCTAGATGGAATCTCGGTGCCAGAAACTTGGCAGCCCTGGCTCAGGCACAGGGTTCAGGCCCAATACTTCTCTGTTTCTGAGCACAACTGCTTCCTGGACACAAAAGCATCCTCATAACCCAGGACTGAATCAGCATCCACCACCCAAAATCCTATTCCCTGATGGCCTTTTTTTCCCCTAGATCCTGTCCAGGACCCTTGTTTCCTTCTTGTTCTCCAAAGTATCTGCTGCCAGCCATCAGCTCTGCAGAACCAGTGGTCCCTGCAGGGGGTGAGATGTCCGGTGCTTTCCATGTGTTCACGGATGCGGGTCTTAAGAACACTTCCTAGTAGCAGAGGTCTCCACTGCTTCATAAGGGTGGCTATCCTTAGTGCTCCTGGCAAGCTTCACATCTTTCCTATGGTTCCCAGGGCAGCCTGCAGGACATCCTAAGAGAAAAGACCATCCAAAGGGAAATTGTATTGGCATCACCCCCATCTAAAGCAGAGAAAAAAAAAAGAAAAATACAAAATATCACATGAGAAGAGCATCTTACTAAAATTATATTGAGAGCTTAAGCAGATTATAAAATAGCTCTAAGTGTACCAAGATAGAAACTTGGCAAGGACACAAAAAGACAATTCATAGAAAAGGTAATTTAAAGCCTATACATACTTAGTCTAGGAGGAATCAAAGAAATAGTCAGAGACTATTACCAATGACCCAACATCCATTCTTCCTAAGGAAACCCTGATTTTATTTAATGTGCCTGGTTAAAAGACAGTATTTCCAAGCACTCATTACAGTTAGGGGTGACAAATGAAAGGTAAGTCAAATTGGTTAGCAGAACTTCCAGAAAACACATCTTAGACTATAGCCTTAGGGATGGAAGCCACCTTTGAAGAATCCTGTCACCAGCTCTGAACTGCTTATCTCTGAACTTATATGAGAGAGAAATGGGCTTACAGTTAGTCTTAAATCATTGAAATGTCTTATCTATTACTAAAAGCTTAAGGCAATCAATTTCTTTTTCTTTTTTTTTTTTTTTTTTGGTGTTTGCCACATCAACACTTTTTTATGTTCAAAACTACTCGAAGAGGTAAATGTTACCTTTTCAAAGATGAGAAAACAAGACTCTTGAGGTTACCTATAATGACCAAACCATACAGTAAGAGGCATAGCCAACATTAGAATCCAAATCTTACTTGAAAGTCCATAGCTTAAACTTTTTTTAAAAATTCCTCCATGACAGATGTAATTCCTGCTTGTGAAAAAATTATTTGGAAAAGGAGAAGGAAAGGAGAAAATGAATTCATGATCCTGACTCCCCGTGGTGCTACGTCAACATTTAGCTACACTCTTTCCAGTCTTCCCGCTGCGTATATTTTCTAATGCATGAACACATGGCATATCAAAATGGGTGTATTGATATTTTAAAAATTAACATTCTTTTTTATTTTGCAGTTTTTGGCCGAGGCCGGGTTTGAACCCACTACCTCCAGTATATGGGGCCAGTACCCTACTCCTTTGAAACACAGGTGCCACCTAAAAATTAACATCTTTTAATTTTCTTTTTTTGAGACAGAGTCTCAAGCTATCCCCCTGGGTAGAGTGCCATGGCATCACAGCTCACAGCAACCTCCAACTCCTGGGCTCAAGCGAGTCTCCTGCCTCCGCCTCCCCAGTAGCTGGGACTACAGGCGCCCGCCACAACGCCCGGCCATTTTTTTGGTTGCAGCCGTCATTGTTGTTTGGCGAGCCGGGCTGGGGATTCGAACCCGCCACCTTAGGTGTATGTGGCTGGCGCCTTAGCTGCTTGAGCCACAGGTGCCGAGCCTCATCTTTTAATTTTCAAAGGAAAACATATGTTATAGAAAATGTGGAAAATACCGAAATATATAGAAGGAAACTAAAATTACCTAGAATACCATTAGCCAAAAATAACCATAGTTAATATTTTATATATTCCCTTCATCTTTTTCTTAATTTTCTTTTTATAAAGTTTAGTTTATAATGTACAAGTATTTTTTTTAATGTACAAGATTTTTAAGTATAGTTAACAAAGATTTAAATGGATGATGACAGAGAGGAGGGTCTTGACGACAGCATCTGCCATTCAAATTATTCCACAGATTTTAGACAGGCAGAAAATAATCATTTGCATTCTTTTATTGATTCATAAGGCCATTAAAATATCTGTAAGTATTAAAGCCTGTGCTTAATTTCCACTAAGGTGAAGCTTGACAAAAACTATCACTTTGTTTTATCCAAGTGAGTCTAAATCATTTATATAATACTCATACATAAAACTTTCAATGCCACATTAAAGGCCCTCCAAGAGAGAAAGATAACAGGTGTAGTCTGATTAAAAGTTTCAAGTATCTCACGGTGAAAAAGAATGTGCCTTAAACATTGTGCACACTTAAATTTACATAAAATAGGTTTAGTAAGAAAATAAGAAAACTTGTATTACTAAGTTTCAAAGAATTTATTATCGAAACTAAAAACAAAACTTTAGTTGTACAGAAGTAATAAACCCTTAAACCAACTATCAAGGAAAAGTGGTGATGCAAGTTTACACACAATACTGAAGGCAAAGAGTAAGGGTGAAGGAGAACTCCGGTTGGAATGTCGATTATATTCATGCAGCTTCCTTCTTGATTTAAACACTCATGACACACTGAATGAAATCATCGTATAGGAAATTCACAACACCTTGCTAAGCAGTATCCCCTCTTCCAGAAAGCTATCTGTGAGAGCCCACAGTTTCACACAGCATGGAGTCACCAAAGGTGATCTTTTCATTGGTGCTATACCATTTTGCACCTGAATTCACAGCCTGGGGACTCAACCTAAATCCCACTGTTGTCAGGGCCTTTTACAATTCTTGAGGCTCCACTTTTCCACTCCTGTCTCTTCAGAACTGATGAAGTGGCCCTGTGCCTTGGGTCACACCTATAATCCTGTAATCCTAGCGCTGTGGGAGGCCGAGGCGGTGGATTGCTTGAGCTCACAGGTTCGGGACCAGCCTGAGTCAGAGCAAGACTTCATCTCTAAAAATAGCTGGGCATTGTGGTGGGCGCCTGTAGTCCCAGCTACTTGAGAAGCAGAGGCAAGAGGACCTCTTGAGCCCAAGAGTTTGAAGTTGCCGTGACCTATGATGCCACCGCACTCTACCAAGGGTGACAAAATGAGACTCTGTCTCAAAAAAAAAAGCTGATGAAGTGTTGTCTCCAACCATTCAGTACATACCAGAGTTCTTTAAATTCACTGAAGCCTGTTGTGCCTGACATATCTCTATCCACTATTGAAACCATAAACCCACCAATCTCCAGGTTAAAAAGTTTGTATCCTCCTGTGATGCCAGACTGTGTCAGACATCTCTGCAGTTCATCAGTATCTGTTTGCCTATGCTGTCCGTCTACAGCAGCAAAGTAACCATACAATGGATCCCAGGTTTGTCCGAGAAACTCCAGCCCTCTGGGAGCCCCTACATACTCACCTGGATAGCACCCATCACCCGCGCTGGGGTACCTGGGGTATGCTATGATGCCAACTGTGTGGCCTCCCCCAAGTCAATTCCTTAAAGAAATATTTTTGACTAGTAATTCCCAAAGTTAGTGAAAACATGATAGAACATGGATATATTTACATGTACATACATATAGACAATTTTAATGCAAATTGGCCCATTCCTTTGATAAACTCCTGGGAAATATCTATCATAAGCCTTAATTATGTTTATATTCATTGAGCCAATTAATGAATTTCAAAATAGAGATGCTCCAATGTATAATTGCTGTGAATTCTTATAGTCTCTCTTTTCACGATAGTGATATGTACACATACATACCCACATATGCACATATGTACACACATATCTCCATGTACTTGTGGGTTTAACTTAGCTTTAATATGTCACTGTTTAGATCAAGGATGTCCAACCTGTGGCCCATGGGCCGCATGCAGCCCATGATGGCTATGAATGCATCCCAACACAAAATCACAAACTTGCCTAAAACATTATGAGATGTTTTTGTGATTTCTTTGGTGCAACTCGATTGCATGGTTCTCAAGTGTGAACTTTGTAGACAAAAACATCATGTCACAATGTCATGTAAAATTAACATACATGTACTCATGCTATTTTTACATGTGTGGCTTCAGTTTTCCAGCAGTGTGCAGCTTCTACTGTGTTATCTTCCAAGAGCGCACAATCAAGTTGACACCATCAGATGTTACATATGCTAGTGGTGACATGGCAAGGCAACAATTATCAATAATGCTTCAACCTACCATTGCAAAATTAGGCATTTTATGTTATTTAGAAGTCAGGTGAGCACTCTTATTTGATTATTAAGGGTACTTCCATACCTCAGCAGCATCTCACACATTGCCTGCTGAGCTTTACAAATGGCCCTCTGCCTCACCCTGCATTGGCAGCTGAGATGTGGAAAGTTTAGCCGGGGCCAGGTTTGAACCCACCACCCTCAGTATATGGGGCCAGCGCCCTACTCACTGAGCCACAGGCGATGCCCATTTTTTTTTAATTATTTTTAATAGAGACAGGGCCTCCCTCTTGCTCAAGCTGGTCTTGAATTCCTGAGCTCAGGCAATCCACCCAGAGTGGTAGGATTACAGGCATAAGCCACCTCACCCAGCCTGTTTTTCCATTCTTGAAATATTTTACTAAAGAGAATGTTCTTCAGCTCCATTCAGGTAAATACAAAAGATGTAAATACCTCATCTTTTTACAGCTGAATAGTATTCTATGAGATATATATACTAAGTTCATTAATCCATTCATGAATTGATAAGCACTTGGGTTGTTTCCACATCTTGGCAATTGTAAATTGAGCTGTGATAAACATTTGAGTGCAAATGGCCTTATGGTAGAATGATTTTTTTTCTTCTGAATAGATACCTAGTAATGGGATTGCAGGATCAAATGGAAAGTCCACTTTTAGCTCTTTGAGGATTCTCCATACTTCTTTCCAAAAAGTCTACACTAGTTTCTAATCCCCCCAACAGTGTGTAAGTGTTCCCTTCTCTCCTCACTCTCACTAGCATTTGCAGCTTTTGGATCTTGCGTCTTGATATCTCAAGGTAGTTTTGATTGCATTTCTCTGATGTTTAGGGATGATGAGCATTTTTCATGTGTTTGTGGGCCATTCTTCTGTCTTCCTGGAAGAAGTTTCTGTTCATTTCTCTTGACCAGAGATTAACTGGGTTGTTTGCTCTTTTCTTGTTGATTTGTTTATGTTCTCTGTAGACTCTGGCTATTAACCTTTTGTCAGACTGATAATATGCAAATATCTTCTCCCATTCTGAAACTTGTCTATTTGCTTTGTTTATTGTGTCCTTAGCTATGCAGAAGTTTTTAAGCCTGATCAGGTCCCATTTACTTATTTTTGTTGTTGTTGCAGTTGCCAATGGAGCCTTCTTCATA